TTTTTTTTCAACCAGTGCTGAAGATTTAGCCGTCAGTATATGAAACCTCGCTGTCAGCGCCTCTCAAGATCATTGCGTTTTTGAGATCAATGTTTTCAATGAAGTATTGTACAACTAACAGCATCTTCCATGGTTATGGTCTGATACGTTTTGCACAAAAGACTACGAGAATAATATTATTTTATTTATTATTTTTTTATTAGTTTACAACACCAGAGTGAAGGCTTTAAAAGATCATTTTCTTATTCAATTAACGGTAACGTTTTGTTAATTTCTTCTCGAAGAAAATTCAGATGGACCAAATATGTCCTTTTTTTGGCAAACGTCGGTACCTGTTTGGCTTCAATTTTCAACCCCATGTCTATTCAATATTTGAGGAGTATGCAAGAAAATTTAAATATGGCTAGAACTCTTTGTCTTCAATATCGTATGCCTTTCAGGTTGCTAAGGTATAATACGACGAATGCACTGTGGCCCAAAGCTACGTTCTTAAAACGACCGCTAAATGTTATGGTGTAATTTTTCGCAAACGAAAGTAATCCGTTCATCTTTTACTATTTTATTCAACCAAGGATAATTAAGTAGATGAAATTCGAGGTACTGAAAATCAAACTTAAGATGCGCATGTCAAAAGAATACCATTGTTAAATGTTCTACCTTTACATTTGTAATTAAGAAACCGAACACTAGAACGAAAACACTGCGCGAAGATTGTTCTCTTTCCGCAAGCTTTCCGTCCAAGCTTTCCCGAGCTGTAATTACTCAAAGACAAATCATAATTCGTTTCCGAATTTTTTCACGCCATGTTGATTCGACCGCGCAATGACGAAAACTGTCCAGGCGAATAAACCAATGTCACGTGTCTTAAATATCGTCATCTGATTAGCTTGGTTTAACTCTCTTGGGACTTTAAAATCGTAATTAGTATGCGAATTAGTATGAAATTTATTAGTATGAAATTTCGCGCCAAAATTAAGGAATAATTTGTCTTCCATGACATTCAAGTGAAGACGAGTGAAATTAGGAAATCATTTCGCGCGCGTTTTGGCGAGGGAAATAATTAGAATTTTGTCAAAACGCGAATAAATACACCATTTGATTACTTCTTATATCATGGGTGTCAAATTGCGCTTACAATCCTGGGTTTTTTACTTGGTTATTGTATCGAGAAATTTCGCGCCAAACGTTGCCCTTGCAATTTTGTAATTTCACATGTAAAATTATAAATTCTTGATCAATAACGACTTTTTAAAACATAAACAAGCCGATATGGTGTCATCGTGATACCATTCTCAAGGCAAAGTGAATAAATTAATGTAAAAGTATAGAAATCAAATCTTGACGTCGCCGAAACGTCGGCTATTGACTTAAACATTCGCTTGCTTATGTTTTAAAATTATAAATTAAGGCTGAAATTTCGTGCAAAAATTAAGGAATAATTTGTCATCCATGATATTAGTTAACTAATTTTCGCTAATCACTTTGTTTTTATCGCTGTTCACAGCTATTTGGCAGGGAAGTGCTGCGCAAACAATAGTTTTTGTCTGCGCTGTACTGTCGTCAGCCGTTATATGCCCAGCTCTAGGTAGCTATCGTGATCACGTGATCACAGTTCTCATAGCGTTGGGGGCCGCGTGTATGGCGGGTGACGCCGTATTCCATCTCCTACCTCATGTAAGTAGCTTCCTTTGTGTCTCTAGAATGATTTGAAGTCGCCTTTTCTCGAGTGAAAAGTATATTCTATATAAAAGTCAGATAAATGCTCAAATAAATTATCTTTTATCCAATTAATAGTGAAAGGTTTACTTCACCGTCCTTTACATCTAACGTGAACACGAAACGAAAAAAATATGATCTAATTGAATGTGATTTTGGCTGGTGAGCCCAAAGTACAGCCCAGTTGGTATTGATTTATCAAGTTGCAAAAATCTCGTCTCTAATTGAGAAACTTCAAGACTTGAAACTTCAAACCAGGAGTTCCCTATCCACGTTTGAAATTTCATCCGTGACCATTTATTGGAAACGTTTTGTCAATTCGATAAATACTAGTGACATATGGGGGTAAAACTGTACCAGCTGTGTTGTCACAGCTTTGGGTGCGAACGTTCAGGTTGTGGTCTGTCAAATTCAAATGACTGATGACGAAACAGGCATTATTTGTTGCCTAGTTATTTTCGTGACATGTTAATACTTAGCCAGCGTCCACACCACGCGGAGAAATTTGAAACGCAGCTTTATTTCTACGGTTAGGCCGCTGGTTTTCTAATCCGTTACGAAAACGGAACTTTTCCACAACGATGTAGTCTTGATAATAACGTGATCTCACTGTCCACGTTTTCCTCAAACATAAATCCAAAATGACTGGTGGTTGTTGCGTGTTAAATTCCTCCGACGTAGTGTGGACAGAAAACATTTGATGCGTTTTCCGAGTGAAACTTCCGTTTTATTCATCTCCTCCGGTATAGTGTGGACGGGGCTTTAGAGGCAAACGACGGTCAGGGGATTGAAATATGAACAAACTTTAAAATATGTGGCTGGCGTTTTCAGCCTTCAGTCATATAGCGAATCAGACCCTTCTCAATTTACTTTAAAGAAAATTTTCTGAGAGAATAAGACTCTTGGAAAAGAACCAGTAATTTCAAAATCTTAGAAAGTATCCAGCACAGAAATAAGATATATATATATTTTTTTTATTTATAGGCATTAAATCCTAACTTTTACCACGAACATGGCGGCTCAACGGGAGACTCCGAAGGCGCTCACGTGGTCTTATGGCGTTCCGCGCTAGTAATTTGCAGTATATATTTTTTCTACCTGTTTCATCTTTTCTTTTGCGCAATGGAGGTAAGAACTGCTTTTTCCCATTGTAATATGTGGCTGTTGACTAACGCAGCTCATATTTAAATGACCTTTCACCAGTTAATTACCTACATATCCACTACAAATTAGAATGGTGTGAAATCTCGGCATTTGTGTTCCTACTGGTAAGCGGCAAAAGCGATAGGCTCTGGAACAATCTAGTAGATTATGCGGCGTTGTGTCACGAGGCTTTTAGGAGTGTCGTCTTTGCTATTTTAAAACATCGTTGAAAGTTTTAATGGCCCAGTTCGATTGAAATGAATTTAATTTAGAAGCACTTGCGTTTTTCATTTCGATCTTAGTGACTCGGTCTATGGAAAACTCATAGAAAACTAAATACGGGCCTGTAAGCATACAGCACATCCAATCGACAGTTTCATGGACTAGCCCACTTTGTTTCTAACTCCTTCAAGCAAATTGTACGTTTCATTTGTCACGCATTCTCACGATCACGCACTCTTCGTTTTTGCAGGGAAGCCATATTCACTCACACGGCTCAACACCTGAAGCCCAGGAGACTATATATCTTATGCAGTCTGAAAGTAAAAGCAAATTAGAAGAACCCGAGTCTAAGACAAACAAGGCTCTTATAGGCATGA